GGCCTGTCCCCGGGCGTCCCCGGGCCGTCCCTGTGGCTCTTGCAAACGGCTGTGGATGCCCCAGCAGGAGGTGGGCTCGGGGTCCCGGCGCTCCCTCCCCTGCCTGCCCCAACATGGGCACTGCCGGGCAGGAGCTGGGGCCAGCCCCAGCAGCCACACCTTCTCCTGGCTCCTCTCACCGCGCAGAGCGGCGCGGCCTGGCCTGCCTGGCGGCGTCTGGAGAGCCTCTGGTCACCAGTGGGACTCGGGAGGGGAGGAGGGACAGGTAGCTCCCTGCCCGCCTCACAGGTCCTCCTGGCCGGCCACCGCGTCCCTCCTGCAGCGACAGCTGGATTTCCAGGCCCTGCACGCCTTCCCGACTCTGTCTGCCCACAAGCAGAACTTATCAGTAGCAGCAGGGTGCAGCTCCTCCGCTCCCAGCTGAAGTTTTCACTTTGATTACTACAAATCCTCAGGCCCCTGGGCCCAAAGCTCCTACTGCAGTTTGCAAATGGATTTTTATAGCACGTTAGTGCTGGGGAGATTCCAAGGAAAATAGTCCTCTCCAAATCAGAACCAGCTGCGACTTTCCCGGCCTGTGACTCACCGGGTGTTTAATTGGGTGGGAGAGGCGGCCGAGACACAGGGCTCAGTCAAGCCGGTGTTTGTTTTGCTCGGGTATCCTAGCCACAGCCTCCCAGCGTACCATCCACACCGCATGTTTACTTAACTTTCTCTTCCCTCCTCACAGTTCCAATGATAAAGATGGAACCCACTGATGACTTCGAGTCCTCCCTGGCCTGTGGGCCCGTGAGCCAGGGCCTGAGTCCCCTCCCCAGGCCCTGCTACAGCCAGCAGCTCGCCGTGCCGCCCGACCCAGTCTCCTGCCTCGTGGCCGGCTTTGCCCCCTGTCCACAGAGGAGCCCCATGATGCCAGCACCTCCCAGCACAAGCCCAAAGCTCCAGGACCTCTCCTCCGTGGCCTACACCAAGGGCGTCTCTGGCCCGAGCCTCGGTCACCTGGGACTTCAGCCTCCCGCAGCGGATGCCCCGGCCGTGCAGCCGGGCTCTGCGGAGCAGCCCCCGCCCGCCCTGCTGCAGCCCCAGGTGAGTCCACATCTGAGCAGTAGCTGCTCCCTTGGTTGCCAGCAGGCGCTCTGTCCCAACAGCCCCTCTTCTCCACCGCCGGCCGCCGCCCACGAACCAGCCTGCTCGCCGTCCTCCGCCCAGCCTCCTGTCCTGGGCCAGCAGCAGCGCCAGCTGCCGAAGGTTCAAAGAAACGTGTCTCCAGCTGCCGGGCCGGCGCCGCTGCCTGAGGCGCGTGAGGATGGTAGTGATAATTTGGCCCCTATTCCTGTAACAATCAAGCAAGAGCCTGAGGAGTTGGACCAGTTGTACCTGGACGATGGTGAGTGTCCGTGCAGGTGTCCCCTCTACCCGCGCGCTCCAGAAGGAAGGAGGGCTGTGTGCGGTGCACCGCCGGGCTGATGGCGGCGGCACTGCGCCAGGCTGTCCACACCGCCTCTGGACAGCGTCGGCCTCGGTGACCTGCCTGTGCGGCACGGGCCGACACTCAGGACCCTCAGGTGAAAGCTGAGTGAGTCACCACTCAGCTGGAGCTCAGAGGAGGCCCCCCGGGGTCCCGGGGCAGCCTGGCCATCACAGCGCATGGACTAAGGGGCACCCTTGAGTACATCGCGTCCCGGCTAGAGGTGTGGACGTTGTAGTCCGGTGGCTGTGTCAAAACTGTCAATGCGGTCCTGACAGCATCACGGGCCCAGTGGACACTGTGGCTCCGGCCAGGCCTCCTCCCGGGGAAGCGTGTAGGACACAACTGACCGTGGTGTGTCTGGCAACAGGCTGAGGTGGTGACACCACCCCTCGGCTGTTGTGTGAGTCTGTGTCGATGTGTTCTTGGGCCCAGCCCGGCCCGCCCACAGCCCTCTCCTCTGCACTGGCGCAGCGGGGTTCCAGGTCCACTGGGGCCGTGGGTATGGCAGTCAGGTGTGGGGCATTTTCCAGGACAGGTCCGGAGCAGGTGCTCACTCCTCCTCTAGCTGGGCCTAGACCCAGCTGGGCCCAGGGCTGCACTTGGGGGTGCGGGGCCTTCCCACTAAGATCAAGGCCGGTAGCTGCCCTTAGCCAATCATCTCCCTCCCTGGCTGCCCTTAACCAATCACCTCCTCCCTGCAACTGCCCTTAGCCAATCAGCGGCCTCCCTGCAGCCGCCCTTAGCTGAAGTTCTCTCCCTCACATCCACACACTCGAGCTTCCGGTGGCCCTGCAAGGAGGCCCGTGGGAAGAGCCTGTGGACGTGGCTCGGTGCTCACTGAGGTCTGGACTCTGCACCTTGTTCTCCTCCGTGGGTTGGTCTGGCCAGGGAATAACGGAGCCTCTTTTAACAGCTCCCTGGAGACAGTCTAGCACTTAGGTGTTCCAGGGGACGACGCTCTGGTGTTTCAGTTTCAAAGGTTCTTGATGAACACTTGCTTGCAAATCCTAACTTAGCGTTTGAGGAGGATGCACACAAGTTCTTGCTCAGAAATTATTAACTCTCAAACCTGGTCCCTGCTCTGTGGCGGCTTGCCGGTGTGCCTGTGTCTTCGTTGTGGTGCCTGGCGTCCACTCCAGATCCACTCCGTAGGCCCCCCAAGATGGCCAGGATCACAGAGATGCTCTGTGATCACAGACGCTGCCTCCTCCTCCGTGTGCAGACCTGCCGCACTCCCAGGGGGTGCCACCTGGCCGCCCTGCCCAGGGAGAACACTGGTGCTTGTGCCAAAATTCTGACTTCTTTGCCCCGGGAAGTGCCGTGTGGTGCTGTGGGAACATTGTCATCTGTCACGACAGTGTGACTGACCAGCCCCGGTCCCCACATCTGGGCAGTACCCTCTGGCCCGGAGACAGGAAGCTGGCCTCAGCCAGGCTTCCCGCTGCCCCGGGTCGCCATGTCAGTGTCAGATGTGACTTTGTTGTGAGCGTGTGACACAGGGCGGTGCGTGTCTGGGAAGGGCCACGCTTCCAGGAAGCGGTGGGCAGCGTCGATGGAGCCTGGTGCTTGCCCTGCGTACGTGGGATTGCTGTGTCGGAGCACTGTCCCCTGGGTCTGTGTCAGAGCCTGAGGCCACCCATAGCATTTTGTGTTGCCATGACGCTTCATGTCATGAGCTGCAAGATTAGAAAGCGGCCGCCAGGAGCTCTCCGAAGGCCGGGTGGGGGCAGGGGCCCATCCGGACCGTGGTGTCTTTCCCCTCAGACTCAGTTTGACTTGGTTGCCCTCCAAGGAAAAGTGTATGGAGACAGGTGGAGACCCAGCTTTGAGTCAGAGGAGTAAACTCTGTTTCAAGTGGCGTCAGTGGCAGGCCATGGAGATGCTGCGGCGTGCAGGAGCTCACTGTGTGTGTGAGCGTGCTGGCGGGGCCGGGGTCTCACCAGGCTGGCTCTGGGCCCCCCAGGGGCTTTCTTCTGGAATCTCCTGTGTGCTGGTAGGGAGCATGTGGCCGTCCTGGCTGAAGGGTCACCAGGAGGCAGGGACAGAGTGGCCGTGACCTAGAGAGCCCTCGGAGATGGACAGGGAGCGGGCAGGACTCGTGCGGCCGGCCCCTCCTCCTCGCGTGCTGCCTCGGCTCCCTCCTTGAATCCGCCTGCCGGGCAGGGCAGGGCTGTTCCACCGGCCTCCTCTCGAGCTAAGAGGAGGCAGGAAGAATCTACTCCACATGTGTACTGGTTTTTATTTGTTTTGCTGGGTTCTGATTTTGCCTTGTAGCACTGCGGTGTGCGTGAGTGTACAGTAACGAGAGATGGTGTCTGGTTCCAGAGAGCCAGGGTGTGTGCGGGGAGCACCAGCTCTCAGAACAAGAGGGGCGTTCAGGCCGAGAGCGCTGGCTCCTGCTTGTTATCCTGGCTACTCACGAAGGATTGTTGTGTAAAACCAGCCCACGCCGAAAAGTCTGTGAGACTCCATTTCCAATCAACAGGCAGAATTCTGGGCTGGAGGTGTGGCTCAAGTAGTAGAGCACCAGCTGTGAGCTTTGGAAAGCTGGGTGAGCACAGGGCTCCCAGTTCACACACACAAGCACACGGCGCTCATGCAGGGGCAGAGCTCACGCTTGTGCTGTCTGCAGAGTGGCGCGCCGGAGCCTGCAGGGCAGCTAACAGCGACGCATCGTGAGAGATGGATTGCCATTTTTAGGACTCCAAAAGTTTTTGTTTCCACTCTAAAGTTTTGCTGTGAGAATACTTGGCCCATAAATAAATTTCAGTGATGACTTCTTCTTTGTTCCCAATGTCTTCATAAGATGTAAGCTTTCCCCTTAGATTTCTCAAGAAAGGCTGAACCACAGGGCCACACTTTGAGGGTGTTAGTGTCCTGGACTTCACGTTAGTTAAACGTAGAGCAGTTCTGTTTCATTGCTTATGTGCCTCGGAGCTCCACACGGCTCCTTCCCTGAGCTGCCGGTAGCAGAGTGGAGTCACGTGATGGCGCTCTGGTCCCAGGGGACTCGTTCAGTGGCACACGTAATGTGCTGTCTCCCTCGCACATTCCCGTTCTCATTTCACACATCTGGAAACTCCCAAAGTCCTGAGGCACATGGAGATGATTCCACGCACCACAGGGCACCAGCCAAAGTCGCAGACGGAGGCCTGGACTCCTTGGGAGGAGGGGCCTGTGGCAGAGTCAGGGCCGGAGGCCCCTCCTCCTGCCGGCCGCCCTCCCCCACCTCCACCCAGCAGCCGCCACAATCGGGCCTTTCAGCTCCGCCACAGGCTCTTGGGTGTCCCGAGGTCTCCATGTCATTAAAACCACAAGCAGGTAGACAAGGCGGTCCGGTCGTGTCTGCCGGCTGTGCTAGCTCTCCCCGTTCACCCGCCCCTTCTTTCCTGAGCTTAAGTTGCTCTGGGAGAGAACAAAAAGCTTTCCTCATGGAAAGTTTTACTAAGCTGGCCGGGAGCCCAGGTCTGAGTCTTTCCTGTGGCTAACGATGATTGCTAGAGCCTGTGTGCAGCCATCAAACAGGAGC